GAAACTCCAACTCACTCACTCCAAACACACATTTGGACGGCTTGATAGCCACGTTTCGAGTGGCAAATCGTTCCAGTAGCTGCATAAGACGGGCATCGTAGTCTTTCTTATTAAGGCCGAAAATGAGGACGTCATCTTGATACGCAAGCACACCGTCGAGTCCTTTGATTACACTGCCTGCCGATTGAAAGAGGCCAGACGACACATGCAATCCGAATGGGAGGAAATTGTACTGATACATTCCCCACGGTGTGTTGATTGTTGTCAAGTAGCGAGACTCGACATCGAGTGGAATCTGTAGGTATGCGTCCGCCAAATCGATCTTGGAAAAATACTGGCACCCATGCAATGACTTCATGACTTCGCCCAGTGTACCATTGGTACCATTGGTTGAGCTTCCTGAACGGTGATTGGATGACATGAAACTGTACCTTGTCGACCATGGATTGCGGTCACTGAAGTCTGGATCACCACCTTCAGTTTTGTTACGCGGTGCGGGTGTATCCAATATTGGTTTCGCTTTGTCAGGTAGCGGATGTAGCCCGTTCTTATCCAGTCAATAGCCCAAATAATCAACAGAATCGGCCAAAACGACGCACTTGGATTTCTCCAGACGTAATTCTTTATCTAAAAGACGCTGTGAAACGCGGTTTAATGTCTCCAAGTTCTCCTTCTCCGTTCGGCCCGTGATGAGTATATCATCCAGATACGCACATATGCTTGGAATATTTCGCACCAAGTTGTCCATGATCCTTAGAAAAATGCCTGGGACTGCATTGATACCAAAAGGCAACCTTTTGTGTTTGTATAATCCTGTGAGCTAATTGTGATGAAGTCTTGAGAACGTTCATCAAATTCTACTTGAGAGTAAGCGTGACTTAAATTAAGTTTAGAAAATTTCTTTCCTACGGCTAAGGTGGCGTATAAGTCCTCAATCTTAGGTAACGGATCGATGAGTGCGTAACGATTGACAGTGAGTTTGTAGTCCCCACAGGTTCTCATGTGACCATCCGGTTTTAATACCGGAACAATTGGGGCTGCGCACTCCGAATATCTTACTGGTTCTATGGTTCCTCCTTGTTCAAGTCTTCTCAATTCGGTTTCCACCATGGGACGTAATTTGCAAGGGAGTGCCCAGGGTCTGCAAAATTTTGGCATGTAAGGTTCTGTAAGACGAATTTTCGCTTTAAAATCCTTAAGTTTTCCCAGTTTTGTGCCTGTCGGTAAGAATTGATTTTAGGGAATCTTCACAGACCAGTCGCAACTCGTTTAACAAATTAGCTAGACGATTGATCCAGTCTCTGCCGAGCAAATTTACCGAGGCATGAACAACCAGATGGACCGGCAACTACTGAGTCACATCAGCATGTTCCACTCGGGTAATGAACTTTCCGAGGATGTTAATGGCTTCTCCTGTATAGGTTTCAAAAGTGGTAGTACAAGGTTCTATCTTTGGTAGAGAATTGAACGACCTTTTATTAATGAGTGACACCGCTGATTCAGTGTCTATTTCCATTGTAATTGGGACACTATCTACCTTTACATTGGCTAGATATGGTAGCACCTTGTTAGTGACGTTGGTGGTGGAAAACACATGATTCAAATTTAATGCATCAGTATCAAGTGACTCACCACAATTCGGTGATAGGTTGTTGGTGGCCGATTGATGAGCGCAAGAACTGCAAACTCTTGCCAAGTGACTGACTTTACCGCAGTTCCGGCATTTCGTGCGCTGATGAGGGCACTCATTTGGAGAGGTGTGATCGGCCCCACATCTGTAGCAAGTAAATTTATTTAACGGAAGCTTGGGACGTGGAAATGTTGCTCGCTGTCTCACAACTTGAACTGGTTCAGGAGAACTGTTGACGTTGAAGTTTGATAGTTACTCCTTATTAATGTCCCTCTGACGTGAAGTATAACATACTTTCTCCACGTAAGCTGTCCTGAATCCTCCGAAAGAAGCTTCTCCCGTATGAGATCGTCCGATACGCCATCAACGAGACACTGGAATTTGCATGGTTTCTTCAATACGAAGTGATTGAATGGACGTTAATCGACTTTCAGGGATGGCCTGATGTATATGGGAGATAAAAACATTGATACTTACGCCACTCCGTTGTTGTAGTAGTGTAAACAAATGATATCGCGCTGCGCACACACACTTTGTTCCAAGCCCCACAGCTTTTCAAAAGATGCAACGGCTTCGGCAATTGAAGGTTTCTCCAGAAGGTTCAATGCGTCGAAACGGCGTTGACCTTCCTCTTTCAAATAATGGCGAAAAAGCATAAACCAATGAATTTCAGTGAGGGATATATTCAGATGTAGCACAGGGAAAAGTGTCATTTGATGTTGAAATGTGGTTTTCCAACGAAGCCAACTCTGTAGTGAGGGTTTTTCTGCGGCAATGGGTCAAAAAGCTGAACTCCCGCGAAATAGTTCATTAATCCCGTCGCCATTTATTATGTTTGGATTTCAAACACTGTAGTCTCAGACCCGTAGCCCACTAGCAACGTAGAACAACAGTACGCAGCGTAAGATAGGTTTATTAGGACTCGTTCATAATCAATCGTGTCAAACGTATGTTCAACAAGGCAGCAATAGAATTAACAGTCAATCAGGATCGGGCCCATTTCGGCCGGCATTATTGGCATAGGCCATTGCGTGAGGTTGATGGATCTGAGTAGATATCAATCGATGACGTCTGTGGAACGAGCATGTTTTATCCCGTATAAGCCAATAAGTAGGCAAGTAGTGAATTGAGCAGTTATTCGATTTCCAGTATGTAAGTGCATACGTAGCCGGTGAGCAAGCAATGCGTCAACACGCAGACAGTCAGACACAAAACTGGCGCGAGTGTTACCAAAAGGGGTATGTCATCACGTTGGGCAATCAACGAACCAACCAATACGGACAGGTCAATACTGACCTGTGATTCGCTGAGGCTGATCGACTTTGTAACAGAGTAAGCCCGCATGAGGTGCGTACTTGTATGTGGTGGCGGGCCACTACAGTCAATAACGTGATGGGCATATCACTAGACTACAGGCCACAACAGAGCAAATTATCCATGCGCAGGATGGCGGAACATACGCACTTAAGCCGCAAGCACATATACAGCACCGTTCAGCCTTGCAATCAGAAACCTGAGGGATTATTGGTACCATGAACAAGTTGAAATACCAAGGCTCAACATTGTCTTTGAGAAACTACGGGTCGAGTAAATAATTTTATCGGAGTTTGATAAAAGGTAGTCAGTAGAATGCAGAGAATGTCTGTTGACGTTATGGATGAAGATAGAAACGGAATGTGCTTGGCCGACGTGAACCAATTGGTGTCAATAGCGCACTATGCATTCTTATTTGCACATTCGTGTATACAGTGAAGTTAAATGCGAGCTAAATTAAATGTTGTTGCATTTGTTGTTGTTTTGTGTAGCCTATTCATAGCTTTCGGTTTTCCGTCTTCAATTATGTGGCTTCTTCTGTGAATGTTCAGTCTCATGTGGAATATAGTAGATAATTGACTCGAGTTACATTTTTATACAATTTCAGATGTCAAATATGATTGCATTTTCGGAATGGTTGTGGTTTTTGTTAATTACTATGCAAAAGATGATCGCTGTGCTATGGTTATTGAAACTAAACAAAGAAACAGAAATGTTTCTTAAAAAATAAAGATTCCAAAGTCTAGCCTGGAAGCTATGCAAAAGAACTTCATTCAAACGATACCTGCTTTCTTTGGCACGAGGGTAATGTCTTCGAACATTTTTGTGGCTGTTCGTAACAGCGTTGATCGATGAGCGTCAAAATAGTCCTGTGTAAGACTCTACGACATCTTTTCAGTGAAACTATATTTTGAATTATTGTTCGTTTTTGCCCATCAGTTATGAACTAATGAAAGTGGACATAATTTCCAGATTGAACACACACAGTTCTGATTTCTACCGTGCCAAATTTTATGTATCAGAGTGGAAGCAGACCGAGGAAGTGAAATGTTAGTACCGTGGTCTTATCCGAGTATGGGGAGAAAGAAATGGATTAATTTTCTATCATCTTGTTCCCTAAAAGCTTGTTCTTGGCAGGTATTTGAAACACTGTGTTGTCAGACTAGGTGCTTAGGTTTCCGGAAATTACGAGAAAACTAGATAAAGTCAACCTCATTTCACGCAGTATAGTACGTATGAAAAAGTATGCCATTGATCACTCGGTTTCACAGAGGTCGTATTACCGAAAAAGTATGTTATTTGTTGACTGTGAAGAGCATGTTCTATAGCTAGGTCCGTTACACGACTAAATCAGGGTTACAGTTTCCGGTGGCACCTCCTTTGCATCTGGGAGGCATCCGCTTGTGAATCAGTTGTTCCAAGACCAGACAATAAAAATAAATGATTCTTTTAGAGCATAGTGTAGTAATCGAAATAGTATTGAATTTAGGAATACGAGAACCCGGACTATACTGCCATAACTGAATTGGCTCCAACCCGAACTGCGGACACCAATGAAATACACGAGGAATTGATAGCAGCAAACGCACATGTTTATTGATAAAATTAGAACATGTCTTATAGAATTTAATAGTCCATATGATTGATTGAACGAGCATCCTCTAATCACGTAACCGTTTCCACCAACGTATCATATGTGCTAATTTGGATGTCACGTTCGCCCAGTGTACCATTGGTTGAGCTTCTTGAACGGTGATTGGATGACATGAAACTATACCCATTCGTGCATGGATTGTCGTCACGGAAGTCTGGATCACCACACATGGGCAGCCTATAAGAACTGCTTTTGCATTATATTCGACGTCATGTTGTGCCGGTAACAGATTCAAATTCTTGGGGTTGAACATCTAGTTCGGTTTCACAATCGAGATAAGCATCGCCAGCTGCATTATTTTCTCATAAGATCCACTGCATCAATGCTAAACTTGTATTTGTCATAGAAGGAAAAGACTGAATTTTTTTTTCTTCTTAATTGTCACCCCTATGAACGGGATTCTGTTAGGTGGAAGGTTAGATAACTCCTCGCGCCTGTCTCTCGGATAACAAACAAGCAGCCTGTCCATTGTACTTGTTGCGCGCTACTAAACTCAATGTAGCAGTCCATCCAATCTTATCAATTCAATTCATTTTGTTACAGTCGCCTGCTTTGTGCTCCAATCAGCTCGTCAAACCGATTTCGCAGTTTAATTATCCGATCAATCGGGAAACCTGTATCTGGTACTGGCTAATCGTACTCGAGAAGAGATCAACGACTTTGCGTCACGGGATCTTAATGGTCATTTCGTTGTCTAATGTGTAGGTGCGTTCATGCGCCTTTGATTATGTGCACTACCACAACATTCAGCTACAAAATGGACCACTGTGAATTCTGACCCCGACTCCAAGGGAGCGATCACCTCCATCCAGAATTGATTGACTGTGTTAACTAGGCTGTCCGCAGAACATCGACGTTGCACTCAACGCAATGATGCACACACGCGCGCGTGTGTGTGTGCACGGCTCGGAGGGAAACTTTGTGCGGGCACCCTGAAGCTTGGTTCGAGCTAAGCAGAAATCTGCGCTAAAGATCGGTGATTTTTAACAATTGGCTGTCTGTGGTAGTGAAACTGAGAATTTGACTTGGGCCATTTGAGAATCTGCCTATTTGGTGTACAAGAACTCCTAATGCGTCCGTATATGACACGATACCATAGCGCATAACTCAGTAAAATGGAAATAATAACCCAACATAGAATACCAAGAAAGACTGCGGAACAATCAATTCCCAATTTTGTGAAAATCAGTAGGGCAATGAATCAAAGAAACATCACAAATCAAGAGCAAAAATACAATCCAATCATCATTCTTCCGGTGTACAGCAAAGGCATATATTTGTTGCATTTTATGCAAATCCAGTGTTCGGTTTCATAATAACGAAAACTTTTCATGGATCACCAAGTTTTTCCTCCATAGCAGTTATTCAATTGAATTAGGATAATTTTGGCTATTATCCTCATCGTTTGACCGGTGAGCTTAGCCTCTTCCGGATTTCTTCTTACTTCGCGGAAAGTAAGAATAACAATCGTAAAGCATAATCCAAATGAAAAAAGGAATAACATTTCTGGTAAACAGTAAAACGATCAAGTGTTTAAAACACTCATAGATTATTCGCATTCAACTCACAGCTACTTGTGAGTAGTGGTGAGGGATAATTTATATTGATCGATTTGAACTGACTATCCTTCGGACCTCACCTTCACCCACAATCCTGCTTATCTAGTCCAACATAAACTCGGAAGCACTAGTCTCGAGTTTCACTCTTATTAGAGCTCATCAGTAGTGCATATCCACTGTCTCGTCCAGGATTTGAACTCCGGACCCATCGCATGGAAGGCGTGTGCATTACTACTGTGCCAAACAACCCGTACCATGGCTGAACCAAATTGCCGATTCGTGGTTGTTCTGGTATTACCTTCAACGACAATTAGCCAGTTCATTTGGCCCGACAGCAACAAAGGGAGACAGCGAT